AACTACATCAAGGGGGAGATAGGAACAACACTCACTACTGACACCTACATCCGGGGGAGATGGGTACCCCACTCACTACTGACACATCTGAGGGAGATGGGTACCCCACTCACTACTGACACCTACATCCGGGGGAGATAGGAACAACACTCACTACTGACACCTACATACAGGGGAGATGGGTACCCCTCTCACTACTGACACTTACATCAGGGGAAGATGGGTACACCACTCACTACTGACACCTACATCCGTTGCAGATAGGAACAACACTCACTAATGATACCTACATCCAGGGGAGATGGGTACCCCACTCACTACTGATACCTACATCAAGGGGAGACAGGAACAACACTCACTACTGATACCTACATCAAGGGGAGACAGGAACAACACTCACTACTGACACTTACATCCAGGGGAGATGGGTACCTCACTCACTACTGACACCTACATTCGGGGGAGATAGGAACAACACTCACTATTGATACCTACATCCAGGGGAATTGGGTACCCCACTCACTACTGTTACCTACATCCAGGGGAGATGGATACCCCACTCACTACTGACACCTACATATTGGGGAGATGGGTACACCACTCACTACTGATACCTACATATTGGGGAGATGGGTACGCCACTCACTACTGACACCTACATATTGGGGAGATGGGTACACCACTCACTACTGACACCTACATATTGGGGAGAAGGGTACCCCACTCACTACTGATACCTACATATTGGGGAGATGGGAACCCCACTCACTACTGACACCTACATATTGGGGAGATGGGGTACCCCACTCACTACTGACACCTACATATTGGGGAGATGGGTACCCCACTGACTACTGACACCTACATATAGGGGAGATGGGTACCACACTCACTACTGACACCTACATATTGAGGAGATGGGTACCCCACTCACTACTGACACCTACATATTGAGGAGATGGGTACCCCACTCACTACTGACACCTACATCCAGGGGAGATAGGGACAACACCCACTACTGATACCAACATCCGGGGGAGATGGGTACCCCACTCACTACTGACACCTACATCTGGGGTGGATAGAAACAACACTCACTACTGACACCTACATATTTGGGAGGTGGGTACCCCACTCACTACTGACACTTACATCTGGGGGAGATAGAAACAGCTCACTACTGACACCTACATATTGGGGAGGTGGGTACCCCACTCACTACTGACACCTACATCCAGGGGAGATAGGAACAACACCCACTACTGATACCAACATCCGGGGGAGATGGGTACCCCATTCACTACTGACACTTACATCCGGGGAAGATGGGTACCCCACTCACTACTCACACCTGCATCCAGGGGAGATGGGTACGCCACTCACTACTGCCACTTACATCGGGGGAAGATGGGTACCCCACTCACTACTGACACCTACATCCAGAGGAGACGGGTACCCCACGCACTACTGACACCTACATCCAGGGGAGATGTGTACCCCACTCACTACTGATACTTACATATTGGGGAGATGGGTACACCACTCACTACTGATACCTACATCCGGGAAGATAGGAACAACACTCACTACTGATACCTACATATTGGGGAAATGGGTACTCCACTCACTACTGGTACCTACATCCGGGGGAGATAGGAACAACACTCACTACTGATACCTACATTCAAGGGAGATGGGTACCCCACTAACTACTGACACCTACATCGGAGGAAGATAGGAACAACACTCACTACTGACACCTACATCCGGGGGAGATAGGAACAACACTCACTACTGACACCTACATCCAGGAGAGATGGGTACCCCACTCACTACTGACACCTACATCCGGGGGAGATGGGTACCCCACTCACTACTGACACCTACATCGTAGGAAGATAGGAACAACACTCACTACTGACACCTACATCCAGGAGAGATGGGTACCCCACTCACTACTGATACCTACATCCGGGGGAGATGGGTACCCCACTCACTACTGACACCTACATCGTAGGAAGATAGGAACAACACTCACTACTGACACCTACATCCGGGGGAGATAGGAACAACACTCACTACTGACACATACATCCAGGAGAGATGGGTACCCCACTCACTACTGACACCTACATCCAGGGGAGACAGGAACAACACTCAATACTGACAACTACATCAAGGGGGAGATAGGAACAACACTCACTACTGACACCTACATCCGGGGGAGATGGGTACCCCACTCACTACTGACACATCTGAGGGAGATGGGTACCCCACTCACTACTGACACCTACATCCGGGGGAGATAGGAACAACACTCACTACTGATACCTACATCAAGGGGAGACAGGAACAACACTCACTACTGACACTTACATCCAGGGGAGATGGGTACCTCACTCACTACTGACACCTACATTCGGGGGAGATAGGAACAACACTCACTATTGATACCTACATCCAGGGGAATTGGTACCCCACTCACTACTGTTACCTACATCCAGGGGAGATGGGTACCCCACTCACTACTGACACCTACATATTGGGGAGATGGGTACACCACTCACTACTGATACCTACATATTGGGAGATGGGTACCACTGACTACTGACACCTACATATTGGGGAGATGGGTACACCACTCACTACTGACACCTACATATTGGGGAGAAGGGTACCCCACTCACTACTGATACCTACATATTGGGGAGATGGGTACCCCACTCACTACTGACACCTACATATTGGGGAGATGGGGTACCCCACTCACTACTGACACCTACATATTGGGGAGATGGGTACCACACTCACTACTGACACCTACATATAGGGGAGATGGGTACCACACTCACTACTGACACCTACATATTGAGGAGATGGGTACCCCACTCACTACTGACACCTACATCCAGGGGAGATAGGGACAACACCCACTACTGATACCAACATGCGGGGGAGATGGGTACCCCACTCACTACTGACACCTACATCTGGGGTGGATAGAAACAACACTCACTACTGACACCTACATGTTTGGGAGGTGGGTACCCCACTCACTACTGACACTTACATCTGGGGGAGATAGAAACAGCTCACTACTGACACCTACATATTGGGGAGGTGGGTACCCCACTCACTACTGACACCTACATCCAGGGGAGATAGGAACAACACCCACTACTGATACCAACATCCGGGGGAGATGGGTACCCCATTCACTACTGACACTTACATCCGGGGAAGATGGGTACCCCACTCACTACTCACACCTGCATCCAGGGGAGATGGGTACGCCACTCACTACTGCCACTTACATCGGGGGAAGATGGGTACCCCACTCACTACTGACACCTGCATCCAGGGGAGATGGGTACGCCACTCACTACTGCGACTTACATCGGGGGAAGATGGGTACCCCACTCACTATTGATACCTACATCCAGGCGAGATGGGTACCCCACTCACTACTGACACCTAAATCCGGGGAAGATGAGTACACCACTCACTACTGAAACCTACATCCACGGGGGACAGGAACAGCACTCACTACTGACACCTACTTCCAGGGGAGATGTGTACCCCACTCACTACTGACACCTACATTCGGGGGAGATAGGAACAACACTCACTATTGATACCTACATCCAGGGGAATTGGGTACCCCACTCACTACTGTTACCTACATCCAGGGGAGATGGGTACCCCACTCACTACTGACACCTACATATTGGGAAGATGGGTACACCACTCACTACTGATACCTACATATTGGGGAGATGGGTACGCCACTCACTACTGACACCTACATATTGGGGAGATGGGTACACCACTCACTACTGACACCTACATATTGGGGAGAAGAGTCCCCACTCACTACTGATACCTACATATTGGGGAGATGGGAACCCCACTCACTACTGACACCTACATATTGGGGAGATGGGAACCCCACTCACTACTGACACCTACATATTGGGGAGATGGGTACCCCACTGACTACTGACACCTACATATAGGGGAGGTGGGTACCCCACTCACTACTGACACCTACATCCAGGGGAGATAGGAACAACACCCACTACTGATACCAACATCCGGGGGAGATGGGTACCCCACTCACTACTGACACCTACATCCAGGGGAGATAGGAACAACACTCACTACTGACACCTACATCCAAGGGAGATGGGTACCCCACTCACTACTGACACTTACATCTGGGGGAGATAGAAACAACACTCACTACTGACACTTTCATATTGGGGAGGTGGGTACCCCATTCACTACTGACACCTACATCCGGGGGAGATAGGAACAACACCCACTACTGATACCAACATCCAGGGGAGATGGGTACCCCACTCACTACTGACATCTACATCCAGGGGAGATAGGAACAACACTCACTACTGATACCTACATCGAGGGGAGATGTGTACCCCACTCACTACTGACACCTACATCCAGGGGAGATGAGTACCCCACTCACTACTGACATCTACATCCAGTGGAGATGGGAACAACACTCACTACTGATACCTACATCCAGGGGAGATAGGAACAACACTCACTACTGACACCTACATCCAGGGGAGATAGGAACAACACTCACTACTGACACCTACATCCAGGGGAGATAGGAACAACACTCACTACTGACACCTACATATTGGGGAGATGGGTACCCCCACTCACTACTGACACCTACATATTGGGGAGATGGGTACCCCCACTCACTACTGATACCTACAACGACGCCAGGGGCAGCACACTCCATATCAAGGCACTATATTCTCAGATTTTCCTCCCGGGTCACGGTAAAAGTTAGGGGGGTAACTGTGGTCTCAAGCCTTCTCACGTCGCTTCCGTTGCTTCCGTCAGCCACGCACATGGTCAAAGGGGAGACAACTTTTACCCACAAATGTACAAATTGTGCTCGTACTTGGTGCATCTGTATCTTAGTATTCTTAGAACGTTGTCCTTCAGCTCCCTCTTCAATTATGGAAGGCAGAAGATCTTCTCTACATGATGTTGCCAAGTGAGTGGATGTATAAAAGCCACAAAACCATTCCCAGTACAAACAATCACTACTAGAATCAGATTCCGACTGCCCGTGAGCATACGTATATGAATTACTAGCAAATAGGTCACACCATGTGATACCGATTACAAACACACGCAAAGGCAAATCAATTGATCATCTGAAACATTTGATACAAGTCAAAGTATTGTCGTTCACATTTCCACCATAACACCTTTTGAAAGTATTACTCTGAGTCCCGATCCACAAAGCGGTCGCTGGCCTATGATAAGCTACTGAGTTACGACTTACTTCACGTTACGAGTACTTTGTGGATGGAACCCTAAGTTTTGTAAACCTCAAATGTCGTGTGACGCTTTTTGAAAGCTTTGTAGTAACAGCATATTCGATTGTACCTCTCAAGTTGTGTGGGGGCGGTGGGGTAGCCGAGTGGTTAAAGCGTTGGCTCGTCACACCGATGACCCTGGTTCGATTCCCCACATGGGTACAATGTGTGAATCCCATACCTGGTGTCCCCCGCCTTGATATTGCTGGAATATTGCTAAAAGCGGCGTAAAACCAAACTCACTCACTCACTCAAGCTATGAAATAATGAAGCCGCAACATGTTACTGGTGCAGAAGCTCGAGAGAACGCTTTGGTGTATGAGTGTACCCATGTGGGGAATCGAACCCGGACCTTCCGCGTGACGAGCGAACGCTTTAACCAGAAGGCTACCCAAACTGCCCTCTGGAATATTATTTGCGAATGTTAAGAAACGTGCCTATACCTTAAAACTGCATTATAAATTCAAACACACCGCCTTAGCACATGCTAATTTCGCCGTGTGCAACTTGACGCCCAAAATCAAATTTTAGATTTCAGACAATTGTTTCCATTAGATAACAATTACCAATGAATGCTTAGTTTAGTGTTGTGCAATCTCAGCCAACGAGAAGTCGACTGTCACCTGCGTAATCAATCAAGTAGAGAGGAACAGAGATTTTCATAACATACAGCCTCCTTACAAATAAATTTAAAATTTTTTTTTAACAAAAAACATGAAAATTACACTGACACCTTTCCAAGTTATATTTCATCCGTAACATTAATTGATTTACCGTTTGCTGTGCTATTATTTTCTTCGGGTTGGGCTATAAATGATTCCTCTGTGACACGTCATGTGAAAAATCATTTGAAGTCTTCTGTTGGAACAGTTTACAAACTAACATAACATCCATTTGAAGCGAATCTTCATGATGTTGATCACGGGATTGTCTGGTCCACACTCGATTATTTACAAGACCGCTGCCATATAGCAGGAACATTGCTGAGTGCGGCGTTAAACAACAATCAATCAATGAATCATGAAGCGAATTTAAGCCGAATTGGTCATTATCCTGGAAGCTGGAACAGTTATTTTATGTGTGATTGGGCCAACACCCTGTGCTACGTGTAGTCGACGAATTGGGTTCGATTTCCCACTTGGGTACAATGTGTGAAGCCCATTTCTGGTGTCCCCCGCCGTGATATTGCTGGAATATTGCTAAAAGCGGCATCAAAACCAACTAACTCACTCACCAATCCGCGTCCATCCATAACAGTCGACCACAGTTCCATATTCAATGTATAAACGACATCAAATGCACGTAAAGGGTTTATTAACGGTGTAACAGGGGAGGTTTCTTTGTCAAAGATTGTCACTAATTATGATCTTGAATTCGACAGATCAGTCGCCCAAGCTCTTGTCCGTGGCGAATCCGTAGCAGCTGAGGCGAACAGGTGACCATCTACTTCAGCGACATCTGTGGGTTCACTGCGTTGTCCGCGGCTAGTACTCCAATGCAGGTGGGTATTTCTGTCAATAGTCAGTACCAAAATGAATGTGCGTACATCTGTCTGAAAAAGACCTACTGATTCATAACCCGTGAAGGTCCGGGTAAGAATTGGTCTTCAGTAACCCATGCTTGTCGTAAGAGGCGACTAACGGGATCAGGTGGTCTGGCTTGCTGACTTGGTTGCCACATATCATCGTATCCCAATTGCGTAGATTGACATAATGCTCATGCTGTTGATCACTGGATTGTCTGGTCCAGACTCGATTATTTACAGACCGCCGGCATATAACTGAAATATTGTCAACCAACCCAACTGATTCATAGGCTGTTTTCATGTATCAGGAAAGTACTGTTTTAAAGGGCAACAAAGAAACCGGATAAAGCCATAATATATTACTTCTTTTATTTTTTAGGCTATTGATCTGTTGAACGACCTCTACACGACGTTCGATTCCATCATCGAAAACTTTGATGTCTATAAAGTAAGAAACACGGATCATTCTATAGCTTGATGCCGACTGTTAAATATCTGGGTTTAAGATAAAAAAAAACATGTAATGACAAAATATCGTTTTGTTGATCAAGAATAAATCCATTTTTGAGCAGCTGATTGAAACTAAATATTGTTTAGAGCCCACTCCCATAATATCATTGTGGTCGGTGTTTTACCTTGAACTGACCATACTCATTTGGCGAAATGATCATACTCCATTGAACATATTCGAGATCAAAACTACATCCAGTTCCCATTAATAGTATATTCATACAGGCACACTCTCTATCTATATGTCTGTCTGTCTGTCTGTCTGTCTGTATCTACTCTCGTAAAAAATGCTGTTTTCATTTGACCAAATTATCTTTCTGAAAACATCACTGGTTGAAAGCAGTCGCCGTAAAACTGCACATATGATGTTAAAAAACTGCCACTATGCCCATATAAAATACATTTATTTGCCATCGAATTATACCACCAAAAACGGACTTTAGCTTTCTTTTGCCTTGCATCTTATGTTGATGGTTACTATGTGTATTGTACCCGAACTTACACTGTTCTGTTTTTTTCAAGGTTGAAACCATAGGAGATGCTTACATGGTGGTGTCAGGACTTCCGGTGAGGAATGGAAATATTCATGCCGGGGAAATTGCCCGGATGTCGCTTTCCCTGCTAGATGTTGTTCTGTCTTTCAAAATTCGCCATCGACCTGAACAACAGATGAAACTGCGGATTGGCATTCATTCAGGTAGGAAGGAAGGCGAAGTTAATGTGTTAAAACTGTCCCGAAAGCACGAATCAGCAATTATTGTTGAAATGATTTCCTGTATTACTTTGGTCGCTTTTATTTAAAACTGTCGGAACAACACATCAGGGGCTCATTACCACTTCTAAATTTCCCAATACAACCAAGATTACACATCCAAGGAAGTGTCAGATAGCATCATCTATTTATTGCATATTATTTCCATTTGTCAGAATAACAAAAAGTATTAAATGGCTCAGTTTGAAGCCAAGCGGAGTTATCGCCCTTTTCTTGAGCTTGTGCATACACGTCCCTGTCTTCTTTTGAGAGCTTGTTAATAACAACTCGGTTTCTGTCAGCTAGTCAATGTATTTATCTCCATCAAAGTGCAATAATATCGGTAATTAAATATAGCTTCCACAAACGAGTGGTTGGTAGTATGAGTGAGTTAGGGAGCTGTACACTTATTAAGCATTCTATATTCAGCAAGGTTTATATTATATACCCTGTTGTCAGTATATAGCTTTGTATCTCCATCAAGTGCAATAATATCGGCTTTTGACAAACCAGTCTTTTATAGAGTGAGTTAATGGTTTATTACTCACTCACTCACTCACTCACTTACTCACCCACTTTGGGAGCTGTCCACTTGGTGGAATAGCTATCTTCAGGAAGGCGGTCTATTACATATGCCTGTTACACCATACCCTGTTGTCAGCACGTAGCTTTGTATCTCCATCAAAGTGCAATAATATCGGCTTTGACAAACCAGTCTTTGTTAGAGTGAATGAGTGTGTGTGTGTGAGTGGTTGATAAAGTGAGTAAGTGAGCTTTCCACACGTTAGGGGATCTATCTTCAGGATGGCTGTCTATTACATATGTATATTAAACCATACCCTCTTGTTAGCAAGTCGCCTCCAGCTTTTATAACCTTGAGAGTGTATACTGTAATACAACCCATTTCTGCCTCTTCCCTCAGAATATACAATAGTAGTTAGTACCAGTATTGCAGAGACACAATACGAATCATAAGCGTATCGATTTATTTATCACAGCATCCTCTGTCACTATTAATACAGTTTTCCGGAGAAATTGCCCATATTTTAGAGACGCTTCATGTTTGCCCACAGAAGCATAGGTAAATATGTATAAAACACCGTTTTTTGTCTCTGGGCAATAGGCGGGAACACAATAAGTGTGTATTTAGTTTTACGCCGCACTCAGCAATATACCAAGGATATGACGGAGGTCTGTATTAATAATCGAGCCTGGTCCAGACAATGATCAACATCATGAGCATCGATCTACGCTATTTGGATACAATGACATGTGTCAACAATGTCAGACTCGGGAAGGCGCGGAAACACAATAAGCAGTTCATACTGTGATTGATAGAGTGACTGAGGTTCTACAAACCAGTGGTTGATAGAATAACAGAGATAGAATGACACATATTCAACAAACCAGTGGTTGATAGAGTGACAGAGATTCAACAAACCAGTGGCTAATATAGTGACTGAGATTTTACAAACCAGTGGTTGATAGAATTACAGAGATTCAGCAAACCAGTGGTTGATAGAGTGACAGAGATTCAGCAAACCAGTGGTTGATAGAGGTACAGATATTCTACAAACCAGTGGTTGATAGAGTGACAGAGATTCAGCAAACCAGTGGTTGATAGAGGTACAGAGATTCTACAAACCAGTGGTTGATAAAGTGACAGAGATTCAGCAAACCAGTGGTTAATATAGTGACTGAGATTCTACAAACCAGTGGTTGATAGAGTGACAGAGATTCTACAAACCAGTGGTTGATAGAGTTACAGAGATTCTACAAACCAGTGGTTGATAGAGGTACAGAGATTCTAAAACCAGTGGTTGATAGAGTGACAGATTCAGCAAACCAGTAGTTAATATAGTGATTGAGATTCTACAAACCAGTGGTTGATAGAGTGACAGAGATTCTACAAACCCAGTGGTTGATAGAGGTGCAGAGATTATACAAACAAGTGGTTAATATAGTGACTGAGATTCTACAAACCAGTGGTTGATAGAGGTACAGAGATTTAACAAACAAGTGGTTAATATAGTGACTGAGATTCTACAAACCAGTGGTTGATAGAGAATACAGAGATTCAACAAACCAGTGATTACTACAATGACAGAGATTCTGTCAAACCAGTGGTTGATAGAGTGGCTGAGGTTCTACAAACCAGCGGTTGATAGATTGACAGAGATTCTACAAAACCAGTGGTTAATATAATGACAGAGATTCAACAAACCGGTGGTTGATAGAGTTACTGAGCTTCCACGAACCAGTGGTTAATAGTGACAGAGCTATAAGAAACTAGTGGTTGAATTACCTTTTAACAAACCAGTGGTTGATGTAATGTCTGAGCTTCGAGAAACCAGTGGTTGATAGAATGACTCACCCCTCTACAAACCAGTGGTTGATAGAGTGAATGAACTTCGATGAATTTCGACAAATTAGGGTCTGATAGATCGATCTGAGCTACTGCAAACCAGTGGTTGATATAATTGACCTAGTTTCAACAAATTAGTGCTGCCTTTACACACCAATTAAATCGGCAGGTACCAAATGAAATTACAATGTACAAAAAGTAATTAGTACAATTACACAATGTGTGCTCTGATTTTATGAAGCGTTTCACGATAGTAATATTAAAGGTTAGGCCATCCCATGTAGTCATGGCAGGGGCATACAGTACTGACCTGGCACACGAAATCTGCAAACAATTCACCATTAGACCTCCTCACAAATCTCACAACCATCCATCCTATGTATCGTTTCTAATACAGCACATCATCCATTACAACGTGGCTTTACCCCTACGGTGGAGTACACAATGGCGCTCAATATTGAGGCAACACATTCCTTTAACTACGTTCTTTGTACATTCAACATGGCGGCGGCTCTGAATATGCTGACGCCTGCCGCAGACCATGAAGCAAGCCCCTAATGAAACCACCACTCACCACTCACACCTACATCCAGGGTAGAGAGGTGCCACTCACCTTCCCTGATACCTACATCGAAGGTAGATGGATACACCACTCACCACTTATACTTACATCCATCCTACATCTACGTCCATTTAATAAGGGGTTTGTCTTCAGTAAGATTTATGTTTTGTATGGATATGCCATGTTGTCAGTAAGGACCTTTCATCTACACCAAGGAGTACCAATATAACCATTCTCTGCAATTAAATTTAGCTTGCACAAACCAGTGCTGATAGTGTAAGTGAGAGGTCCGCCAAGGACGGCAGGGGCAGTGCACTCCATTCTCCATTTCTCACGTCGCTTCCGCCAGCCACGCACATGGCTTCAGGGCAGACAACTTTACCCACAAATGCCCAAATTGTGCTCATACTTAGTGCATCTGTATCTTAGAATGTTGTCCCTAAACTCCCTCTCTCAATATTAGAAAAGAAATAAAGTTCGCTCTACCTACATTTATAGTACAACAAAGAACATTTTGTCCTAAACCCTAATTACGTTAAATCACGCGCGGACGCAAGCTATAACTATACTCGGTCAGGGGCCAAACTGATTGAAGAGCTGCAACTAAGGCGTCATTAACCATTTACATTGCACTATGTTCATACGCAGAAATATAGATTACTCTGTGCATTTGCTATTTGCAAATAACAAATTGAAACTGTTATCACACATGTATTCAGTGTATAATTTGTGTATAGTGTCTTTATATAGTGAATCTCACAGGTGTGTCTTTTGATATGAATGTCACCGCAAGTTGATGAACGCCTTTAAAGATAAAGCTTTTTTTCACTTGTATCAGCTTGAGGTGACATATCATACCAAAAGACACCTGTGAGAAAGTGAAAAACCTTGGCTTTTATCAAGTTGTGGTGGTATGTTTGATAACAAATGACAAAGAGGGTGAGATTTTATTTATCATCCAATATCATTCTTAAATCAAAGAAAGCCAAAAATTAAATCTGCCATTCTCATTATAAAACGATAATTTGTTTTGGCTTGGAAATACATCACCCAAGTTAGTGAACAGAAAAACAAACTAATGTCATTTTTTCAATGCGCTTTCATCACAAAAAATAGTTTCAGTTAAAATTGATGAAGTATCACAGGAACACTGGAGAATAAACATCACTGAATATTTTGATTTCAAATGTTAAGACAATAGAACAAATTACAGCAGAAAGTGTACTGCCAAAGTGAAAGCTATTTCAAAGTTTGTCAGAGAAACGAGAGGTATCAATAAGTCATAATCACTTTCAATCTTCTAAAACCTCGAGACTGACATGTCAATCTCCAGTTATTTATAGACGGTTTACATTGCAAGCTCAAGACTGACATGTCTGTCAACCTCAGTTATTTATAGACGGTTTTACATTTCAACCTCGAGACTGACATGTCTGTCAACCTTAGTTATTTATAGACAGCTTACATATTTCAACCTCGAGACTGACATGTCAGCCAAGCTCAGTTTCATTTATGTTGAAATGTCTGTCAACCTGAGTTATTTATAGACAGTTTTACATTTCAACCCTCGAGACTGACATGTCTGTCAACCTTAGTTATTTTCTATAGACAGCTTATTTCAACCTCGAGACTGACATGTCAATAAGCTCAGCCATTTATGTTCAAATGTCTGTCAACCTCAGTTATTTATAGACAGTTTACTCTTCAACCTCGAAACTGACATGTCTGTCAGCCTCAGTTATTTATAGACAGTTTACATTTCAACCTCTAGACTGACATGTCAGCCAAGCTCAGCCATTTATGTTGAAATGTCTGTCAACCTCAGTTATTTATAGACAGTTTACATTTCAACCTCGAGACTGACATGTCAGCCAAGCTCAGCCATTTATGTTCAAATGTCTGTCAACCTCAGTTATTTATAGACAGTTTACTCTTTACACCTCGAACTTCTGTTCACATGTCTGTCAGCCTCAGTTATTTATAGACAGTTTACATTTCAACCTCGAGAGACTGACATGT